CCGGAAACGGTGACTGGCAAGCCTTGTGTTTACAAACAAAGTACAAAGGCGAAGGGAGAGACTGTCCTGGGATTCTCGACTTATCACAACCACAAAACTTGTGAAACGTACCAGACCACAGAGTTAACATGACGGACCTTATCCCCCCTAAAATTGATACCCGACCTCTAGTCGAGGCGCCCATGGAGTCTCCACTTAATTTGGTAAATATGTAGAATAGATCTAGATTTCTAGATCTATAGCCCCGGTCTAATACAGGACTTCAACCGTAACGAGCGACCACCCCATCAAACACAAACAATGAAGAAGAGGCCTAACCCTACCCCTACCCCTACCCCTACCCCTAGCTAGATCTACCTCTACCCCTAGCCCTCAATTCTGCTCTTTCTCATAGTGGTCGCTCGTTACAGAAGTCCTCCGTCTATACTATTCCTCATTTTGTTCTCTTTTCACATCCAAGTCCAATCGTTCACGTTTTACGCCAGAATTCATGGAATGATGATCATTGTCGCCGTCACCACTTCACAAAACAACTGAGTCACTGACTGTCTTTTTCTGTCTTCAACAATTAGGCCTAGATCTAGATCTAGATATTATAATAGAAACCCTCCCGTCTCATTATTTTGTAGCTCTTCAAGGGTTTTTTAGGGCCCTGAACGCGATTTTGGCATTGAAAACATCGCAAATGGTTCGTTTAGGTGTTATGGCACATTATTTCGGTAACCCCCCTCTACCCGCCCTACTGCGCAGCTATTATACTTACTCGCACATCTGGGGGAGACCCCTGAAACCCCATAATGACTACAAAAACTTGCATTATCAAAAAAAAGTCCTAAAACTAAGCCTTAATTTTTTAAAAACTGACCTTATTCGTATATCCGATTTGCACTAAAGTGGTGAAGGAGCTGACTTCCGGTAGTGGATGTGACGCGAAACGGGAGTGCTTCTAGACCTATAAAAATGGCTACGAGGCTGTCGTTATTCTCACCCGTGGTGGGAATAATAATATCCATTTTATTCTCACCCGGGGTGAGAATAATATATTGTTATTTTCACCACGGGTGAGAATAAAATGAGTACTATTCTCATCCAGTCTGAGAAAATAAAAACCACCAAAAATTTCAATCACTATTTATTTGCACACAACGAACAAAAAGTCAATGTCAGTGTAAAATGGATAAAAATGAACTAAAGGCTAAAGGGCTTTACAAAACCTGAGTATGAGACGGAAGTGAAAGTACAAAAATACCAAAAACAGTTTCACATTTATCAGCGGTGCAGCAATATACTGAAAGGCCTGTGCGCATATATCATGAATCGTCGTTTCCCATATTCAAAGTTTGTAAAAATAAACATAGCAATATTTTGTAAAGACGATATGTGCGACAGTTTTGAATTATGTATATAGTCAATAACACACCCTAAAACCTACAAAAAATATCGTTGCAGCAGTCTATGCAAGATAGATCCAATACTGCAACAATACCCCTCCAGATCCAATACTGCGACAATACCCCTCCTTTTACTTTATCAGCTTTACAGAAATTTTGACCTTTTAAATAATTCATTTCCCAACGTTTTAGATATTGAATTAATACTTGATGTTTTTATTTCAATTTTATATTACATCAGGCCTAATTGTGTTCGGGTAATTGTCATAATATTCCTGCGTTTAAAAAAACTTACCGAATCCCCCCACCCCTTTAAGTTTGGCCCTTTAACTGTTTATCTCCGACAAGCCGCTCCCAGCGGCTCGTGGTCGGAACTGGTGAGCCGCTCGCTGACACCGGCTCTGGCACATTCCTTTACGACGACTTCGACATCAAATTACTTCCCGGCGATTGCTGAAAACTGGTCTCTCATACCGGAAGTTCATTCATTGATGAAGAACTATCAAAATAGGTTTGCTAGTTTTGATTTAAGGATCAATTTAATGACGTTTTTGTCATTTTTAGATTTAGAACCAAAAAAGGGGCAGTTATTTACATACATTCCATAATATTTGTACATTTGGATCATAACCTCCAATATTGAAAAAAAAAATTTTTATAATAATTTTGAAAAAAGGATCCCAAGCAGAAAAAAATACTCGTATCTTATATGGAATTATTCAGAATTGCATTTGGAATAAACCTATACATGTCTTGGGGGGTACTTTTTGAGTAAATTCACCCAAAAGTAGTGATTTTGAGGAGAAAAAAATATTTTGACTATTTAGATTTAGGCCTAGATCTAGCACTCAAAAATATTGATTTCTCAATTTCAGTGCACTGGCAATTTGAGTCCAGTAGTATCAATATTATAAAGAAGAGTTCTACACCTCTTTAGTGAGCAAAATAATGATACATTGTGTTGTGTAAAAGAACTAAGACTGGTGTCTGGGCTATAATTTGGGCTTCGCGATAAAACAATGTCGCATAAACTTCGAAATCGTGTTTCAAAACTGAATCAAAACTTCCGATTTTCGGTGGAAACGCTTGACCCGGAAGTCAACTCTATATTATGACCTTTATTTTAACATGGATATGTGGATTGGAATAGAAACCAAGCTAAAATTGAACGTCGGTTCTCGAGCCGCCGGGGGCGGCTTAGCGTACTGACGGCACTTTAGCCGCGCCGCCCCCCACGGCTCGGCTTTGCGAATGAGTTAAGTAATCTAACCATGGTGATTAATTCAAAAGCGCCAGCAAATTGAAAGGCATGCGATCTCAATGACGGAAGATTAAAGAAATTATACTCATTGTATATCACTATGAGTCAATCAAAATAAACCTACTGTCACCCACTAACCATTGGACTGGAAACAACTCAGTCTTGCGGCGCATGCAGTCAGTTTTTTAAAAAATAGATATATAAACAAACAAAAAAGCTAACACTTAACTAAAGTTCTTGGTCTAATAAAAAATCCCTGCGCAGACTGTAATTAAATACGAATGATTATATAGAAAACGCCTCTTTATATTTGTCGCATATGCACGAAAATCAAGATTTTTTAGTTTTTTGGGAAATCAGAGTCACATGCAAAAAATCAGGACAATTCGTCACTTAGTTTCTGTGTAATGAGGTCGACAAGTTGTCTATTTGGTTTTACCCAGACTATTGAATGAGCATCCCTCTTGGCAATATAGCCGAGAATGCTCTAGACCATTATACATCTATTTGCCAGATGATGTGCAAGTTTGCGGGCCAAACATTTTTTAGTTGTCTCTATTTTTTTAACTTTTGGAGCAAATTAAGTGAGAAATGGCCACAAATAGTGCCTTTACTCAATATGAATATATGGCAGTTAAGACACTTTTAAAAAGTGCTACTGATGGTAGAAAATGAAGAAAACTATTGTTAGTGTATAAGTTAGAATACTGTACTTTTCTTCTCAAATGGCTCTGCCAAAAACAAAACTGTTCTTAGTACTGCTTTAGAATAGTTTTCCTCTCACTATTATTCATTTTTAAAAGTATTCAAGTGACATTTTGTTTGATTTAACAAGAATAGAAGAAATAGATTAGAAAATGATTTACAAAATGAGCCTGTGTTTGTTTTTTCTGCACTACATGTGGGTTTTGGATCCTAGAATTCCATTCTGTTGAAACGAAAAAATTTTTACCTTTTCCTGTAAAATTTGCAAAATGTCATGTAGAATAGTTTTCCTCTAGACCCATGATATATACCTTTGTTGAGTTTTCTTTTCTTCTTGCCCCTCCTGTCTATATCAGTGCTTGCAAGCTTTGAAGAATAAAGCCTTCACTGAAGAAAACTAATATGTCCTTCAAAATTGTAAATTATATCATGAGGAATCCTTATGGGACACGAATGATACTGAAGCAGAATATTATACTTTCACTCAGCATCTGTTTTGGCAAAGACTACTGTACCATCTGTTTATTTTTCAATGTAAATGTAGTTTGGGCAAGTCCTACACCTTGGCTTCAGGAAAAAGAGAAAGGTCTGCCTTGAAAAATAGCTACAGTTGCTGGGAGAACATGGAAAGGGGCATGAAAGTAAAACCAGTTTTTGTTTCAAATGCAGCTTTGTAGCTTGGTGTGTTTAGGACATATGTTATTAATGTAAAACGGTTGTGTTTGTACTTTCAGTATAGATGATGCATAGAACTTGAAGGTTGGGCCAGTCAACATATTGGGTGCTAGGTTCACTGTATAAATTAATTGTCTAAGCCTTTACTCTTTCTAAGGCCATTTTGGTTGCTGCCTGTCTTACATCAAGATGGTTTTCATCAATACTTAACGTGTTGAAATTTTGACAGTATTGTGTTGAATAGTACTGGGTTGTATAACATTTTATAGTCTTGTCTCCCTTTGAACAAAACTAAGGAAAGTATAAAAAATAATTTAGTAATGTACAATGCTATTGTCTGTCTTCAAGTTTTCCCCTTACAGTGGAGTCCACTTATAACGAGTCCGGAAAAAACGAAAAGTCTGTTATATAGACACAATTCTAAAACCCCGTTTTTTTTCTCATCTTTACCTTTGTAAATTAAATACTGCTATTGCGCTATCAGACAAACATGCGCGTCTAGTATTGTTGCTGCTGTGCACAGTGCATAGGCCAATTATAGGTATAATGTAAAACCTCACCAGTTGAGAAACGTGTCGGTGATCTAACGAAACAAAGAATGGGAGAGCCCATGTGTGTCAACAATGAAGGTCGGAGCAACTGAGTAGGGAGGGTGTGGCATGCGCAGACAAGCAGAACGCATCGCGTGATAGGCCAGCGTAAGCCTAGTTTAGATTATTAAGGCCTACCATGCCTCTCACTTCTCCGATGTAGGGATGAAAAGGTCACAGTGATGTGATGGATGGAGCTATTGTGTGACGTGCGCAAGCAGACGGAATGCACCACAGGGTGTGGTGGGGTGGGGGAAAACACAGCGGGCGAGTAAGCCTAGAGCCCTTTGTTTCTGATCACCAACGCCGAGCTGTCAGTCAACATAACTAGTGCTAGAGAAAGAAACCTGATTCGATTTTTGATCAAGTAAGACCTTAAGGTTCTGTTGGGCAAAATCATCGTCAGGGGAGATAGCAAAAAGAATTAAACAGAACACCAAACTCATAGATTAGGCCTGTCATGTGTGTACATCAATAGCTTGGACTTAACTGACCAACTTTGTTATAACGGCTCAAGGCCGTAACGTGACCTTCTTGATAATAAAGGATAACTTCCGTTACTACTCATTCTCACAGAGGTCTTGTGTTTGTTTGTGAGCACGTTTTATAATTATTCGTCAAGCTATAAGCATAGCTAAGAACGTAACAAGGCCTACTTTGTTATTTCCCTTGAATTTATTACTGGATCCCTCAGAGAGAGAATCCTGCTATAACAGACATTTTGCACCGGTCCCCTCCCTCTCGTAAAACAGGATTCCTCTGTATATTATTTGTGTTCAGAAATTCATTTTTGTCAATGTGGTTCTCTTGCTTCTGATACTGTCTGTCCATTTTAGATAATTCGTGAACTTTTCATTTCTCCACAGGCTCACACATTCAGCAGAAGAGCAGATATGCTGACAAAAAATAGAAAATATGAAGAGGCAATCACATGTCACCGCAAGGCTGCTGGTAAGGAAACAAATACTTATATTATAAGACTTTGTCCTTGTGATGATTTGAGATTAGGGTATTAATTTTTTTTCAGCTTCATTTGTTTTTAAACATATGTTTTGGGAGCAGAGTCAAAACGGTGGCCTTCGAACCTGGAGATCTTGTGTTTGGTTATTGCAGATGAGCTTAGTCAGAGCTTTCAAATTTCCCACGATAACTTTGTACTTTCGTCCTATAAGAGTCAGGTCCGTGTATCTTGATTTTGGTGCAGAATATTTTTTTTTCACAAATCGAAAGCGCATATCATGGGCTTCATTTCTGTATAAAATTCATTGAGTTCCCCGATGTAAAAATTGCTATAAAAAGCAAATAACTGTTTCACTAATCATAGCTGTTTGCTTCCAAATTAGCTCATCTTGATATGTGCGGAATGGATTTCAATATTGTTATAACTTGGATGACGCAACATGAATTATTATGGAACCGACAGTAAAGCCAAGAATTCCTAATTCGAGCATCATATGATACGCTTTTAGGGCTTGATCGTTTCCAGTGTGTTGATCATTCATACATACCTACATTAATCAGTTTTTTGTTCCTCCTGAAAAATTCGCTAAAACCTTGATACGTGGAACTGTCTCTTATAGGACGATTTAATCATTCATTTTGTTTTTTAGATGCAGTGAACTTTTATGATAATATAGATCAAAGGGAGAAGCATTATTGTTGGTTCCTTGACTTTTTTTTCCTCTCATTACCTCTAGATCATAGGAATATTTTAAAAGAATAAAGTTCTTACCCACAGCGCAAGTGATTTTTACATAATGCTTTTGGACAGCTATTACTTCAGTGGAGTCTGCTTAAACCAATCACAGTTAATCTGAAAACAGTAGTAGTAGCCCTTAAAAAGTAAACCACAATTTTGTTTGTTTTTTTCAATTATTTAAGGATTGTCTCTGAACTGAATATGACTAAACCAAAGAAAATCTGGCAGTCTAGGAGACCTCTGTTTAAGCAGACTTCACTATATATTTTTAAGATACGCCATAACCATTTTTCCCTATGACTGAAGCTACATTTTGTCCTATCTAAACTATTCCCCAGAGTACCTTTTAGAGGCAATGCAGTCTGCCAAATCAGCAACGTTACAAGAATCTATGGCCCTTCAGCACAAAGCGTACTTGTCTGAAATTACAAGGTTGCAATATAAAAACCAGCTACTTGAACTAATGGATAGAAACACAAAAACTTCAGCGGTGATCAGCCAGGCCACACAAACAGATGGCATCAATAATATGGACACAACTGAGCAGGTGACAATGGATGAAGATTCCATCTATGAGGTACTGCGAGAAAATGATGATGTAATGAATAGACTGAGTGTTAAAAGTGCACCTGAAAAAGACAACACACCCGCTAATGGGGGGAGCACACAAGCTCCAGGGTCCAGCGAGTCTATAATTGGCAATATTGTGTCCATGGAAGAGGTTGTCAGTGTGAACAAGAAACTTAGCCAGGCTGTTCGTAGTCTTCTTCAAGAGTTGGGATCTACTCAAGCTGAGAAAAGGCAAATGGCGGAAAAACTTGGAGACAGTGCTGAGATTCTCAAGCAAGGTTTTGATGAAGAGTTGAAATTTTATAGTTTGGACTTGCCGCCTCTAGAAGTTTCCTATCCAGAACTTGCTATGCTTAAAATGGACTCTTAATGGTGATGTGTAGCATTTTACTTGGTACTAATAACAATAGATGTTGTATGTCAGTTGAAATTGGCAAAGAAAGTGAGCGCATTTCTGTGAAACAAATGATGTGTTTTGCAATTGAAGTCTTAGTTCAACTGAACTCTGTATTATGTTTGTACTGGCCAAATGAATTTGCTTGGTCATTTACAGCTTTTTTCACTGTGTATCCTCATGACAACAGTTAACATCAATGCCGATTGTGACTTTGTGTAGTTTTGTGAGGGATTGTTTTGTTTTATTCTTCTTTGCATTCCCCTGCCAGATCATAAGGGTAGTCGACTGCTTGTTCTTCTTCCTGCAGTGGAACTGATTTTTACGTACGTGATCGTTTTTCTTCTTCATAGGGCCCCTTGCCTTCAGGCAGCCACATTCAGATTTTGGATGTACCCTATTTCTTTTTTAACTGACTAGAGTATTTTCAGGTTTGGTCGGAATTAATTTTGAATTTTATGTTGGTGGTGGTGGAAGCCTACTTTTATCGATTTTAGGATCACCAAGGGACCTTTAACATGCATAACTTGCACAGAGGACCTTTGAAATTTTGTACTCTTATCTTTGAATGTTAGTTGTTCGATCTCACATACCCTAAAGTCAGGGGTGTAGTTGAAAGACTGCAGTAATGAGGAACTAGGAGTAGCAGTAGAAAGAGTCATGAATAATTGGAAGAGGGGCACAGAGGAGGTCATGGGGGGAGGGAGAGTGGAGATCAAAGCAAATTACAGAACATGACTAGAGAACAGGAGAAGAGGTAATGGAAGAAAATGTTTCTTTCGTTGTCAGATTTCTAACCTGGGACCTTTTGAATGAGAGGCGAACATGGTACCTCTTGACCATAGAGCCCCCTTTTTTGTTTTGTTTTGGTTTTGTGTGTCTTTTCTATTCTCTTTAATTAAAAAATGTTTATGACCAATTTTGGACATTTGTTTTTATTGAACTGTTGTTGCATAAGGGTTGCTTGACAAATGCATCAACAAGAGACCCAAAGATACAGAGGATGTGTGTATTTTATAGGTGACTCCAGGCCTTCACTCTTCACTAGAGCAAAATTTTAGTCATCCTTTCTTTATTCTGTTAATGTGTAAAATTGTCACTTCATGTCTGCTACCAAAAGCATACTTTTTAATTGCAAGTTGTTCGGGGAGTCCCCTAACGCTACCCACTGGGGGACAGTACAATCCCCTTGCGCTGCTTAGATCTACTCGAGGACTGTGCAGTCCCCTAGCGCTGCTTAGATCTACTCGAGGACTGTGCAGTCCCCTAGCGCTGCTTAGATCTACTCGGGAACTGTGCAGTCCCCTAGCGTTCCGCGCTGGGGGACTGCAAAGATAGTTTGAGATGTTTGTCGTAATAAATCTTGAATGTGCAACCTCTTAGCACATTACACCCTAAGCCCAGAATTATTGACTTTTTTCTCACTGTTACTAATGCTTTATGATAAAATCGCTCTGAACAGGAAAAAAGCTAATTCCGATCGAGATGTCGACGTTTTTAGACTTAAGTCTATAAAAATGTTATTTCTCAGTTGTTTCTTTGCAGTCCCCCAGTGCGGAAGGCTAGGGGATTCACAGTCCCCGAGTAGATCCAAGCAGTGCTAGGGGACTGTACAGTTCTCCAGTGGTTAGCGCTAGGGGACTGCACCCCTTATAACTTCCTTTTACATTTTATTTTTATAATGTATCTTCATTGTGTCCCCTATGCCTTCTATTGATGAAGAACAGTGGTTCAAGCAGTATTCTTTGTGTATTTATCCAATGGTGTTGGTATGTCATGAGACCCATGGCTATTGTTAGGATGAGTATGAGTGTGTGCAGATATGTGTCACAATGCGGTGGAATATAAAGCACTCATCAATTTTAGGGCATGTGAAGTTATTGGTATCATCTTAAACTCATTCATTTATCTTGCTTCCAATGAAAAAAATGCCCATTTATCTTCAATACAAGTTGAGATGTTTGTGATTGAAGGAGTAGGGGGTTGCTTGGTTTCAGAGATAAAATTAGAGAGAGAATGGCCTCCAAAGTTTGGTTCTTTCCATAGCTTGAGGGTTCGGGGAAACTGAGAATGAACATTTTTGTGCCTTTAATTCTTTAATGACCATTTTTTCAGTAAAATCCACAGAGAAATGTATTTTTAAATGGACATAAAAGGTCATGAGCCAAATAACAAGATTTTGGTCTAAATTGCCAAACCGTAAAAAAATGTCAGTTTCTTCAATTTCATTACGTATTTTGACACGTGCTTGATTTCATGCGTTGCTTACTGGTCTAGAGGAAAACTATTCTAAATGATATATGTCAGCTGAAATGGAGATTTTTCAATGGCCTTAACTTCCTCAAAGGGATGCCACATGTGTTAAAACATCAGAGCCGTAGCTTTAAAAGTAACTGAGTTACAGCTTGAGAAAACATTTTGAGAAAAAGTATAATTTGTAGTAGTTGAAATACAGTATAACACGGATAGGTCGAACACAGAAGACTCAAAATCACGCATCAGTCGAACTGTGCCTGCGATCCCTTTTTTTTTAATGTGTTTATTTTTCTTTATATCTATGTAAGATATCCCTCGAACTACCGAGGCCGGTCCCGACAAATTCGAGCCCATGTTATACTGTACTTTTTCCACTTTAAAAAATTGCTACCTGTGGTAGAAAATTAAGAAAACTATTGTATTTACGTAAGTTACAATACTTTTCTTCTCAAATGGCTCTGCCAAAAACAAATAGAATAGTTTTCCTCACACTTTTGATCAGAAAAAAACATTCTAAGTGACACTTTTCTTTTTGTTGTTTAACAAGAATGGAAGAAAATGATTAGAAAACGATTTACAAAATGAACCCATACTTATTTTTTCTGCACTACATGTGAGTTTTGGATCCATATTGTTGAAATGAGAAAGTTTTTTTCCTTCTCCTGTAAAATTTGCAAAATGTCACTTTGAAAAGTTTTCCTCTAGACCCGCAAATATGTGCTTGTGAAAGAGAATTAAAACAGAAGACACTGTTTCATCACAACTGTTTTTACTGTTCTGTATGGGTCTGTATTTTATGTCATGAAGTGATGACATATTATATTGGATAATTTATAATCAAACCAATATATTATGTTCCTCATGAGAATGGGTTTATGAGTAATGTGGGATCTGCATGAGGTGATGCCTGAGAGATTGATTGAAAACAAGGAGAATAAAAGAGAGAGAGAGAAAGAGAACAGGGGAGAGCTTTTATGCTGAGATATATTTAATGTTAGATGCATTTTTGCCTCAACAGACAATGCTAATTCCTTCCATTGATGGGTTAATAAAATTACGTGCTTATACTTGGCTTTATGACTTTGCTTGTACTTGTACTAAAGGTGTTGAGTTGTCATATATCGTGTCTGAAATGAGCATGCTCTCTTCTACAGTTGTCGTCAAGTAAACTTCACTATTTCAGGTCTCAAATGTAAAAGAGAACACTTTCTCTAGAATAAATGAAGATCCATGATTTCTTGTGAAGTTCATGTTTGTGGCCCATTAGTCAAGTCTGTGGAAACTTCAGCTTATTTTTAGTGAAAGTGAAAATTCAGCTATGAAGAGACACGAGATAACACAGCAAAGTGCAGATCATCTGTTCTCTCTCTGAACTCATTGTAGCCAGGAATTATCGTTAGATAATATGGATTACCACCATCTCATAACATAAGATAGAGAGACCAATACAGCACAAACAATATTTCTGCTACTGGTCATGTACGTGGTCTTTGCCCGAAATACCATCTTGGCCCTCCAAGCAAAAATATTGGAGAACCCCACAAAAATGTCTTACTTCATCTTTTCTATCACTTTTTTTTTCTTCTGTATCTTGTTATTTGTAGCCTACTAAATTATCAGTAAGGTGTATGTGTGTTATATGTTTTTAAAAATTAAGTATGAAAGTCTTCTCACCTCACACCATCTTGTGACTTTTCTTTTAGAGTGAACAAGCCCTTTATATTTTTTAAAGTCTAGAATGTGGGTAGTTGGCGGGTGCTCTGGTGTGGTTTCATATCAAACATCTGTCATCTTTATCTCCCCTCCTTCTTTTTTATGATTGTTACTCTCTTGTAACACCTCTAATCTTCCGCACTTATATGACCTAATTGCGTTGCTAGTGCAGTTAAACACTACTTACAAACAAAAAAAGTCTAGAATAGACTTTCAGTTTCAGGTAAAACTGGCGTATGCATCGATCGTCTTGAGTATAAATTGGTCCTGGCTGAAAAAACTTGTAAGGTAGTAGCAACAAACAACATTTTATATTAAGTTGCTTTACTTCAATCAATGCCATCCTTTAAAAAAATTGTCACTCCTTGGAAGGCCGGTTCCAGCCAAACTTACATTGCCCCAGACCAAGACATAAAGATGCCTTGAGTGCAGTGGTCTTGGTGCAGCCCCTTATAATTAATTATAATAAGTCTTTCAAGTTTCAAGGCTGATGCATGGATGCTTGCTCTCCAAACATTTTAAAATTAAAATTCTCTTGTAACCTTTCTTTTTAAATATTTTTGACACTAGGACGATGTGTAAGCAGAAAAACACCTCCTGTTTAGGTATACAATACCTATAATATGAAGTTCTGTAATAACATTTAGATAATTATGCATGTGTGATAAAATTAATATTATAATATAACATGCATAGAGGTCATTTCCATTGTCCAGGGAAAACATAATGTTGGTTAAGTAAAATAAATTATAATTTCAGTTTTATTCTCATGTTTGAAAAGATGAATTCTCGATTTTAAAAATTATTGATAATTCTAGCATATAAAATGATGTGCTGACTCTAGAAAAAGGAATAACAAAATGACCTTATGCAGTTGTGAGCGCCGTAAAACCCTCTACTATGAAAATAATATTAAAAACTTTTAATTGCTAATATTTTTTTTTTAATCATGCACTTAGATAGCGAATCTTTTTTACCACGAACCTATTAAAATAATTTGGCACGAAAGGAAGTGCCAAGTGGGAAAGCAATGTCGTCAAGGTCAATCAACATGGCTGGTTCAGCTCTCTTCCGTACCGTTCACCGGCATTTAAAATCCACAGGACACAGCAATGTTCTTCCATTGTTGTCACAGTGCCTGGTGAGGGTAAATATACTTGTATTTATTTCACGTCGGTAACAGAGAAGATTAGTTTTCTGTTGTAAAGTCTCCACTGTTGAATTCATGTGGTCTTTTCTTTCATTTTCTTCAATGAGTCAAGACTAGACTACATCTAGACTGTGTTTAGATTTAGAGTTTAGAACGGTTATCATCACAGTCACCATGCTCTTGCCTGTGATGCCACATGAAGCTGCAGCGAGCACCCAGCACATCTCTGTGATTGGCCCAAATATAGATGACATATTTCTTCCTTTTATTTTTGTCGTCTTCCGGGGTTTCCCCCAAGCCCAAGACGCTTGGGTTTCCCTCGCCAATAACAGCAACTTGACTGTTCATGTCAAGCGCCATTGCCATTTGCCGATCAGCGCGATCTTAACCCTAGAAGCGCTCAGCGTTTCACCGGAAGTAACCCGCCAAAAATGCCCCGCCGCCACGGCCGATCAGTTGTAAACATGGGGGTTTGGCGGGGGGGAAACAGCTGAGATACCCGGAATCTGCTACTGAAAAATGACCATTTACGGCTTAATGGATGATAAAAAACATATAAAAGTTCTATATTTTCTTTAAGCTGATAGAATGAGCCATTCAAAAATGATCAGCGATCAAATAATTAATAAATATACAAACAGCCGAGAACGCGATAGACTCAACAATTAGTACATCAGCACGGCGAAACAAGTGATAACACATAGCGTGTAGTCGCTCAGCGGGACGGCGTCACTTTATCAATCGATATCTCGGCCAAGAGACGCTCTACGAGGTCAAGATAACTTGCAACGTCATTGGTCACTATTTATAACTTTGGCCTGTAATTGACTACGTCATTTCCATATAAGGAACACTGGAATTTTCCATTGAAAAGGGTCAGCGTCTATGCTCTTTATATAGGGCCTGCGCGCTTCCCGGTCGAAGTAGGTCAGCCTTATATATAGGGCGTGCGCGCTTCCCGGTTGAAGTAGGTCAGCCTTATATATAGGGCGTGCGCGCTTCCCGGGTAGCCCGGCTCACGCCCTTTATATAGGGCCTGCGCGCTTCCAGGGTTAAGATGGCGCAGAACCATATGACGATCCGCAGAAAGCGCGCCATCTACAGATTATTTCCGAAAATGAATAGAGCTGCGCGATCTTAAGATTGTGCAAAGCAAGCAAGAATTGCGCCATCTGCCGATCGCTTGGAAACACACACGAACACATACAAGATAACATTATATATTAGGCCTATATATACACACATAGAGGCGAGAGTGGCAAAGAAAGAGAGAGAGGGAGAGAGGTTTTTGTATATACCCAAAATAGATAAAAGTCACTTCACACCACACATGCACAAAAGTCAAAAAAGAAAGGCTGCATGGGCAAGTGATACTTGCGTCCTCTTGAACCTTTTTTTAAAAAATTTTGAAATTAATGAGAATAAATTCCGCGGAGTTTTGTTTGTGAACTTTGTTAAATTGTTTGTTTGTGTGTGATGGCGCGTCGCGCCCATCTCGAGATGGCCGCGCTTTCTGCGGATCGTCATATGGTTCTGCGCCATCTTAAGATCGCGCTGATCGGTAAATGGCGCTTGACATTCACACTAGATCACTAGATTTAGATATATCTAGATCTAGAGTCTAGATCTCGCCTAGTTTGTTAGTGTTTAAACGCTTAATCAGCTGCTTGCACTGTGTGCTTCCCGGGAAGCTGAGAATGTTTCGGAGTTTTATGTGGTCTGCTGGGGTAATAATATAGATTCTAGTGTAAAGCGCCGCGACCACTTGTGGTATATTTTGCTTCTCAGCGGTCTCTGTCGGCAAAATAGGTCAGGCAATCCATGTTCAGGGCCGCTTCAGTGTGTCAACTTCCGGTTTATATCGTGATATCGTCACTTATTCTAAAATGTCATGGCAGTTTTCGCATTTTAACATGTTAAATGTTCTTACGGAACGGGGCGCGACCCTGCGCGCACAAACATAACAGGTGCAAGAAAGTTGTTAGTACACTATTTAAAGGTTAGTATAATAATTTCTTTAGCAAATTATGATGAAACAATTATCTTATTATAAACAGAGGGTATAAAGACTAGTGGTCGCAGGTTGGGCCAGCTACTCTAGTTTAGTAACTGAAGAAAACTTCTCAAAGAATGTTTTCAATAAGCCTTTCACTTCGAACTCGACTGCTGCACTAACAGTCAACTGACGTTCTCGAAAAAGGATTGCCCAAAAGTGGAACTAGACAAGACTCGTAACTCTAATAAAACAGATTGCACACGAACTGCACAAAAAGAAAAATGCGGAACTGGTCGCGCTCAGGGCACCGTCGCGCCAAGGGCCGATGTCTCTAGATCTAGATCTAGCTAGATCTGCTAGTCTAGAGTCTAGATAGATCTCGCCGGCCTGTTTTTTTTGTGTTTTTTTTTTGGGGGGGGGGGTATTTTTTTGTGTTGGCTTTTTTAAACAATCTCAACAATTCTCGTTCCATAAATTAACCTTCTCCTCTAAGTTGTACGCACACACAGCCCAAGCAGTCGGCGATGAAACCTAGTGACGTACCCCATCACGTGCCAAGCGGCAAAGCTTGCCCGCCACGGTGAGATCTCGTCAACTGACGAGGGAAGCCCTAGAAGACGACAAAAATAGATGGCGAAAATACGTCATCTATATTTGGGCCAATCACAGAGGTGTGCTTGGTGCTTGCTGTAGCTTCATGTTGTGATGCCAGCCACTCACTGATGATGATTACTGATTAGGTTAAGAAGGCAAACAATAGCTTACCCTATAAATCATTTTAAGTGTTTTGGGATGAAAGGATGATTTGGGACAGGAACCTGGAAAGACTTCGTCTCGAAGTGATTCAAGTGTGTCTTGTTGTTCTGACTGACTTGGCCAGGACTTAGATATGTAGACCACTAAATGACTTTGTGATTGGTGTGTTCCGTCACCCTTGCGTCTCAATGTATCCTGCATAAACACATCCACTTACAGGGTTCCCACTCCACCGGGAAAACATGGGGAAAAAAACAGGATTTCATTTTCAGTTTTCCTGGTTGGGAAAACATGAAAATGAATGAAATTGAAAATAGTAGTCTCCGCCTAAGACCCCACTGCTTATGGTCCTGGTTCGCCTAAGATCCCGCTGTTTTGGAAAAACAGAATTTTTACCATATAAAAGTCACAACAGTGAACCTGCCTTACTTTTTAAAAATATAAGAAATTAATGGGTGTTTGATTCTGGATTCGCATAAATTTTGTGTATTTTTCTATGAAAATTGTGAATTCTATTTTTAATTTCATTTTTAAACCAATTTATACTCAGTTTGAACAAGTTTCATACTTTATGGTTAGAAAGACCAGTAATTTGTTGGCATTCAAAATAATTTGTTCTTTCAAGCTATTTTTGCCCATTATTTTATTTCCAGATGCAAGATCGAGGACAGCAGAGGTCCTATTCATCTGGGGTGAGTTTAATGAGTAATAGATACATATTTTTTAATTCTCACTTTGCATCATGGTTTTTTAAATTACTTTTGGTCATTGTCATCCATCTTTAGATATGTTTACACTTCCTTTCTGTACGTAAGAAAAATGAATCAGTTTGAATAGATGTCTATTTTCACCTTACTGAAGGTCAAGTGCAACGAAGGATTAATCTGACCATTATTATACATAGTCTTCTACTTGTTGATTATCATTGGCCAAAATATTTTTTAAAACCTAGTAATTTTTCTGGGTGCATGGTATAACACGTAATTTACTTTGATGTCTGAGGCATACCAAAAAGGGTCACAAATACACCCACTCCCTTCCTCTTTAAGCTCTGCCTTTGGCATGTTTAAGTATCTTGCAAAATAGAAGGATAAGTGAAGAAGTTAATTATCACTTTTGAAATGGTAAAAAATGGGCATTCATAGTCTAGTTATGGTCTCTTTTGTACAGAATGGAACAGATCTATAACCTTACATTTGTTTCTGAATGTCTTGATAGCATCTGACCCTTCTACAAGCACATATATCAATTACTGAATGTTTTAATGAGATTCTAAAGTTGACAGTCCTTTTTGGGGGCACTTTAGTTAAAATTCATGTATTTTGTCTCTTTTTTTTTTCAACAGAATAGTCTTGTGACAATGATCCCTGGAGATGGAATTGGCCCAGAAATTTCTTCTGCTGTCAAGCAGATCTTCAGTGTTGCCGGAGTAAGCCTGGTCTTTGTGCTCTTGTAATAACTGAAAATGACCAATCAGCTATGTTTGTAATTACAAAGTTAGGTCTGTGTTCGCTGTTGGGTTTATAGGGTTTTTATCACTTGCTCAGATTTATAACTTTGCTAATTTATCATAAGATGAGCAAAATTGTGTATATTGAGTCTCTCTTTTGTGAAAGATGAGAGATGTTATTTGCTTTTTTAATGTTTTTTTACTTTTTAAAAGAAGGACGGGCAGTAAGTTTTTAAAAAAACAAAATCTTTGGAGATCGCTGAAAAAATAATTTCTTTTCCAAATTAATAATAATGTTATTGCACTTCAGCAAGACGAAATTTTTTTCCTTTTTTTTGTCACATAATAGGGATGAAACGTAAATGGTCATTACCCATGTAAATCTGATATGACCCTCTTTTATTAGTCATGCGAATGATGATAAGTAAAATATACGTGATTTACTTAACCAGGTGCCCATTGAGTGGGAAGATGTTGATGTAACTCCAGTCAAAGGCCCGGATGGAAACTTCAGACTGCCACAGAAGATTTTCGAGTCCATGGACAAGACTAAAGTTGGCCTGAAAGGACCACTGGCTACACCCATAGGCAAAGGACATCAGTCTTTAAATCTGGCTCTTCGCAAGTGGGTCTTCAAATGTTTTTTTCTCTTCTGGCCTCCAGCCAATGTTTTTAGATGATAATTTGGTACAAATTCCTAATTTAAGCCTTTCAGAGAGAGAATAAGCATTACAATGCTTTGATATATGTGCATTAATAAACGGTTTGTATGAAGGATGAGTGAGGACGCTTTCTCCTTTGGTCCCAAACCCCTCTGTAGGCAGAATTAATGAAGCAAGGTTATACTGTATCCTTGCTTCAGTCAAGGAAATGAGAAAAAAAAGAACAGAGGGGGATGGATGAGTGTAAACTCTAAGCAGTCAGAACTTCACTCACTTTTACGTGAAAAAACTACCTAAGGCTGCTTTTCTTGGCATGCAAAGGAGCTTTTGCAAGACAGGTCAATCTCAGGGCTTGGTTTGTTGGTCCATTCCTCTCATATGTTGTAAACAAGTGACTTTTTCGTGACTTTCACCACTTGCACACATTGAGTTGAGACCAGTTTATTCTTTTGGATGGTTTTAGGGTGCCACTGGGGGGTCCTGCTTCTTTTCTTTTCCTGTGATATTTCTGTCCATTAGTTTTACTCTTTCCCCACATTGAATAACTATTAATGTGTCAATGTGCTTTTTGCACAAACTGACAGTTTGTCCTTAAGTAGAGGAGCTACCCTTGATTTTGCCGATTTTGGGTCAGGCTATGTAAATTGAGATGTTGGCTGATTTTTAGGATCTACCAGTCCTTTGTCTAAAAATAGCAAGGAGACAATTGAGAAAGTCTTTATTCTCCTTGTAAATTGCCCTTGAAGACATAAGGGTAGGTTAATATAGTGAATTTTCACAATTGTCGTTTTTTTCAAAATGTCATACTTTTGCCTACTCCTTCCTTAGTTTTCATCCTTTTGACATGAAACTTTCAGGAAACATAGATGGCAAGGCTGCCAACAATGTAACCGAGAGATATTTGCGAAAAAAATATGCTTTTCCATTGGCAAGCAATTACGCAACCTAAATTTAGAAAAGGTTTTTTATACATTGGGAAAATTGTCTTCTTTTTTTTTTTTCATTTGCACTTATTTTTAAAAAATCGCTGTAATGCTGATAGGGTTTAGTTCAAGTATACTCTCACCATATTTGGTCAAATTTGGTCAGTAAATAAGAATGCCTAAGGGATTTGAAATTCATTGTTTATTTTTTAGATGACGGCCGTTTCCATAGCAACCGCTGTAACTATGTCAAAATAAAATTCCATATCAAGAGATTTTCCTTTGCCTAACTTATACGTGTACTTAGAATTCATCTCAGGCAACAAACATAGAAAATGGTCCTCAAGGGTTTCTCCTCCCACTAACGGCAATACTGCTCTTTGAAAGCTTACTCTATTAATACATCAAAGAAACAGACCCATCTGTTTTCTCATTAAAAATACCATGAATCACAATTCTACTTTACATGAACAAAAGAAGTGAGCAGTAAGCAGTAATTGTGTCTTTTTTAATTTTCAGAAGGATTGGAGGGGGGGGGGGGGGGGGGGGGGGGCTCTAAATAATTAGATTCTTAGGGGAGACTACTGTATGTATGTTATTAATTTCTTCACTTACATCTTGCACCCTGGATTCAGGCGGATAGTCATACACCTCCTAAGATCTGCTTGTATTTCAGTGAAAATACACTGTTTTTTTATGATACAAGCATGCAGAGTTTGCTTTGACTTTGTGAGGGTGCTTTTAGGGTTTTTAACTCATTACTTTGTTTTATTTTGGGGGTATTTTTTTAAGACCTCGACTCTTGAGTGAACTGAGTTTTACGGCTTTCGTGTACTTTGGGACCCACTTAAATTCTTTGCCTCTTGAATTCCATTGCTCTGCTGGAAGGGATATAAAAGTCAGACTCATTATTGTTTTGCGCTATGTTGTCCTGCGTTGTTTTTACCTTCCTTAACTGTAGCTAATATTCTACTTTTTATAAGGTTTTCCATTTATGATTAGTTTTTTTGCAACTTTCAATGAATATATGGATGGTTGTGTGTAATTCCTCTTGTCTTTCTCATATTTACAGGGCGTTTACTTTGTATGCCAACGTGAGACCCTGTAAGTCCATCGAGGGCTTTGAGACTCCATACAAAAATGTGGACATTGTCACTATCAGAGAAAACACAGAAGGAGAGTACAGTGGCATTGAACACACAGTGAGTAGTATGGGGGGGGGGGGGGGGGGCAACATTTTGACCCCTGAAAGTAACAATTTGTTTCGAAAGAAGAAACAATGTTGTTCCTTCTTTTATCACTCAACTCATTAAACCCAAACAGCTGCTTCCAGCGGCTGAAGCTTTTTTTCAAAATGACGAGCAACTGCTCCTTGCAGCCGGGGTGATGCACACAGGGATACACAAGTCTCTCATCTGAACAGCTATGAATGATTAAACTTTGTATGAAGCTTGTCTTAGGGAAGCTAAACTCCTCTGTCTTTGTTTTTATGTCTATACTTTGTCTTAAGTCTAAGCATATGTTGTGAAAGTAGTAGAGTGTCAGTTGAGTTGTACAAAAATTAAATTCCGTCAAACCATGGACGTCAATACCGGGCTCAATGAGTTGAGAGGAAAGCATGTCTGATGTTCATTTCTGACAACTTGAATATGGTTACAATTCAATAAATTTTGCCATAATAATTTTTGTAGAAAGCTGTTGTCACAATTGTTTAAGTTACGGGTACAAGTGATGTGAAATGACAAATTGAAACATTTTTAGATATAGTGAAAGTCTAATGGTTTCTTTATCATAAGATTGTTTTGAGGGCTGTTATTCTTTCTTGAGAATTTGTTAATTGATCATAAAATTATTTGCTGTTCAAGCATGGGAGAGTCAGACAGGGACAGGGTCCATATTGCTAATAAACTGAATATACAGGAAGTATCTTCTCATACGTTCAACGAGCTATTCAGATATTCTCCCATGTTCATTCATCCCATTAGGTGTGAATTCGGTTGTCATATCGATGTTGTGCCTTTCAGCTTGCGGCGTAGGTCTACTGTCTATGCAGGATGCTGGTCGTAAGGGCTGTAGTGTGTACATCTCTGTAATGTATGTGTAGATTATATACTGGTCTGATGACTCTGTGGACACACACTTGCAGAATCTATCGCATAGCATACCACATGTATGAGTCGACTTGAACATCACAATTCCCAGTTTGAATGTAATAGATATTGAAGGTGTTTTGTCGGTCTAGATATTTAATGAGGTCAGCAAGATCTTTATAGAATTTTCCGTCCTGTTTCTATACACTTATTTTAGACAGGTTTTTTACAATTAAATAATAATAATTTTTTTTGTGAGCAGTACTGGGAGTGGAATTTGCCTGAATGGTTTTAAGAAATGACTTTGTTAAATGAAATAAATGATGTTTACTTTCAGATTGTGGATGGTGTTGTCCAAAGTATTAAGTTGATAACAGAGCAGGCATCCATGCGAGTGGCAGAGTATGCCTTTAAGTATGCCAGAGACAATCAAAGAAGTACAGTGACAGCTGTACACAAAGCAAACATCATGTGAGTCAAGGAAATTCTTTTTATTCATACCAACAGATAGCAATGATGAGAACAGCTTAACTTGCCAAGGCTGATTTTTATCATAGTGAAATCTTTTTGCTCTTCCTTTGATAGATTGATATACATTTTAGAGTTGTGTGGTACTGAAGTTTAACTATAAATCCTCACCCTTTCTTGTTAGAGAATTACCAAACAAGAGAGAGATTATTCAATTTTGTTTTGTTTTGTTTCCCGACACAACAGTGAAAGAAAAAAATGCCTATTTTATTATACTAAATCATCTATAACAACTAGTTCTATCATATATTGTTGTAATGAATAATACAAAAACTTTATTTTGTAATTTTTTTTTAAATTGTCATTTATACAGGCGCATGTCAGACGGGCTGTTTTTGAAGTGCTGTAGAGATGTCGCCGCAAGGAATAAGGACATCAAATTCTCAGAAATGTACCTGGATACCGTGTGTTTGAATGTAAGTGGGTATGTGGTCTGTTCTTTCTGATACTGTCTTTCGTCTTCAATCCTTAATCTTACATTTGGTGGTGCAAATTCTTTCTTTTGCTGTTAACTCTGGCATGTGTTGCCTTTATGAGAGCCTATTAAACACAGCTTGAGGTTTTGAGAGTTATAGATACAAGAATTGTGATGAAACATGAGATGATTTAGTTATATAATTTGTTTACTGTTTTCTGTCATATCCCAAATATTTTCCCTGGTGTTACTTCAGTATCTTACCTGTATTGATTTTACATAACTGGTAAAGATAAAATAAACAACTCAATAACACTCTCTGACTCCCCCCCGTTGATGTGCTTCCAGATGTATAAAAGTTTAATGACAAAACTTGTAAGTGTTGAATGCAGGTTTTTGAAATAATTAATTGTGACATTAATTCTAATAGATGGAAGTCAAAAAGTTGTCGAAAATTCAAGTGTAGTTTGGTGATTTTACCATACCTTCACCTATTAAAACATAGTTTTACCTGTTCTATGAGAAAGTTAAAGAACATTTTGATTTACATTGTGACATTTTAAGATGTTTGTTGTTCTGGGTGCTTCTTGTTTCACTTGCTGTATGTGAAACAAATGTTCTTTTTAGTGAAAAAGCTATAAAACTTTGTTCAAAGTTTGGTGAACAAAAATTATTTTTTTTGTTTCACCTATAGATTTTGCCGAATTCTGCTTTCTGTCTTGCTGTATAATTTTGTTTTGGGATAAATGTATGTTTGTGTGTGTGTCCCCTGATTTTCATCATCTATATAATAATATAAATCTTTTGTCTATTGCTGTTTTGTTTCAGAACATAACTTTTTTTGTCTTTTCATCCTTGCCAGCTCGTGCAAGACCCTGCCTCTTTCGATGTCCTAGTCATGCCAAACTTGTATGGTGATATTTTGAGGTGAGCTTTCTCTTTTTTGTCTTGTTATTTTATCTTTGTTGTTGTCAATGCATCTGCCTACCATCTTAAGACATTTCATTTTTAGGGTTCAGCAGAGATGGATGACATGTGTTTGCCTAATGAAGAGTCCAATGTCATACTGCCACATGCCCGAGTTAACCCTTTGAGCCCTTGCCACTGGTACACCGGTGGCACGTAAACCTGTCCGTACGCCTAACCATCAGAACACCGGTGAGCGAGACCCCATCCCCAACCTGCCCTACCTGACACAAAATGCATACGGAAAACAGTGATTACTACACAAGACATTACTGATTTTTTTCAAAGATCGTTCTGAATTAGATGCTGGTATTGACAAGGACTACCCTGGGTGGGATTTGAAATGTGATTCCGACAATCATATGAATGTTAGTAATATATCGCTCAGGAGCTCAGGAAGAGGATCATGGTAGCTTCAGGAGGTCAGGGCTCAAAGGATAAAATAGTCATTCGGGCAGGCAGGAATATCTTGAAAGTACTGTGTTGCAAGAGTCTTGCTCAATACCACTGATCAGTGCTGTTGATAAACCATTCACCAAAACAGTAGCCTTAGTCATGAGTTAGGGGAAAAGGAGGGTTAGTAGATTACAGTCAGGTAGTGATATATAGCAGACCTGTCAATTGTTCCAATAAAATCGGAGCTTAACAAGTTTTGTTTTGCCATCGAAAAACTTATTCAGATTTGCACTTAAATTGGATTTTTTAAAATCGAATGTAATATTGAAGTGAAAGATGGATAAACTGAACTATGACTGAGGATCTATGAAAATTCATTATGCACACATTGTGCATTTCTATTTGAGTAAAATCCCGTGATGAAGTCAAGAGACAAAATGCAGCACTTCAAAAGATTGAAGAGCAATTAAAGCAAAGTAAGTTTTATGTTCTTATTTGTCTTCTCGCTTCTTATTTAAATAGAGGAGGTCTACCTTGTCTCTCCCTTTATTTACACAGTTGATTGTAAGCTCATCACAGGCTCATTCGCTGTTCATTTGCAATGGTCGTTTCATTACATAGTCTTTATCTACTGTGGTTTTGGAGACTCCCTATTTTTTTGCAAGTGGAGTGTGAATTACCAGTGTAAAAGATTTGAATTTGTCCTCCAGCCTGACCTGTTCAAACCCAGGATGGGTCATGGTTCTTTGTCTTGAGAGGCAAGCTTCTTACCTTGAGACTAAAGAGCCCCTGCTTTTCTTTTGAATTTATGGTTTGCAAAATTTATACACTAATGTGTCATCAATATATTGGTGGCTCTAACAGTGCCAGCAGAAAATATTAGTTTTTATTTTGGCTTTTGTAAACATATATTTTTCATTTTGAATTATTCAGTGACTTGTGTGCTGGCCTGATTGGAGGTCTTGGTGTCACCCCAAGTGGAAACATTGGAGAAGATGGAGCTATTTTTGAGTCTGTAAGTGAAAAGTGATAAAAAAAAAAAAACAATAGAAGAAATGAACAGAAAAGTTTGTGGCAACTTCATTTCAATTCCAAAAAAAGTTTACCCAAATCAAAGTGAAAGGAAAGCATGCTGAAAGTGCGCTTTATGTTTCAACTTTTATAGTCATAAGACTTTTGTGCACTCATTGGTTGACCCAGCATAGGAATACATTGTTTTGAAATTATGTCATCTTTATACACAGTACACAATAAAGGTTTTAAAAAATATATGATGGTTATGTTTCTCTAATGTTACAACATGTATAACTGATGTGAAAACACACCCAGTTAGGATTGCGTTTGTTTAGGTATGTCCAGCTAGTGAAAAGATTTCTTTACCGACCTTTTTCTCCAACTGGTGTTGGATTTTCTTTGTTTGTTTTTTTTTCTCTAAATTGTTGTTATCTTAAAGGGGGGGGTGGGGGGGGGGGGGGGGTTCACATTGGCAAGGAAGCAACAAAAAATTGTATACTGTTGATCAGGAAATGCAAATATTTTGGCTCTTTCAAACTTCCAGTGTTTAAATATCATTTAATTGTTATGCAGACTGTGGTTTGATTTATTTTTTTTTTAAATCTGAACCTTGGTGTCATATTCTTGTGCCTCCTTTTCAGGTCCATGGTACAGCTCCAGACATTGCCGGCGAAGACAAAGCCAACCCAACCGCCCTCCTTCTCAGCTCAGTTATGATGTTGCGCTACATGGAACTGAATAGTTTTGCAGATAAGATTGAGGCTGCGGCCTTCAATGTCATCAGAGAGGGAAGGGTGAGTGCTGTTAGCTGTTTGTGTGTTCTGGATTGCATGGTAATTGGGATTATAAAATAGTAGTTTGTGTTTTTATGTCATCATTATCATTGCTCTTTTTTCTTTTGTGAGTTTGTGCTTTATGTCATCATTATTAATGCTTTGTTTTCTTTTGTCATTTGTATTATTTGGGACACCTGAATAGACATAAGGGTCTTGAACATCTAGCTCTCACTGGCAAAATTGAGGGCAAGCAAGGCAGGGGTAGGCCCAGAACAACGTACTTAAGGAACCTAAACAAATGGGTAACAGGGAAAGATCAGGGAAACGTAGCTTTTTTGAGAGCATCCGAGCAAAGGAATGAATGGAAAACCATGATCGCTGATATCTGTCGCAGATCTGGCACTGTATGATGATTATTGTCCCTAATACCCAAGTTTCATGCATCCCACTGTTGTTACAATCGATGTCATCATTATTTATTTTAAACATAATCCTGGCTTTTTTCATAATTTTCAAGTAATTCTTTATGGTGAATTATTATGATAAAGTGATTTTTGGAATATTATTTATGTTTATCTCATGAGTCATATGGTCGCTTTTAAGCACAAGGGGGCTGTCCCGAAAAATGCTGTTTAAAGAAAATCGAAGGTAAAGTTTTTACCCCTTGTTCAGTCTCTATAAAAGACAAGGAGAGTTTTCTCTATATCCAAACAAATATACACACCAATGAAACCAAACTTCTCCTATAGGTAGGGCAATGCCCACTTTTGGTGTTGGTCAAGATTTCTGGAAACCCCCGAAATCTGTGTTAGTCCGCTTGTCCTTAAAAGCGACCACATATGAGTGCAAATCATACTGTGTGTATGCCCATGGTTCAATCAGAAATAGATAACATAAAAGAATCAAATTTAGATTTGATGGCTTGCTTTCTTTTAATTGCTTGTTGCTCTTTGATAAATAAATGCAGGGTCTTATTCATTTCTTTTGTCTTTTGCTAATTCAGAATGGTAACTTTTTGGAGGGTTGTTTAGCACCATTTTTATATAAAATGTGAAAAGAATTATAAAATGGGTATATATATTCAGTAAACATAATATAAATATAAGTGTATGTGTATGTAAAGTGGTCTCCTCTAATGAAATTTTATTTTTCTCTTTGCATGCCTAAGGACCTGTTCCAAAAATAAAAATCTGCTGAAGAACATCATTTGAGCTATAAGGGCAACAAATTTTTCTCAGAGTCCTTTATCACACTTTGCCTTCACTGATAATGTGGGGTCATTTTTTAATAAGGAAAAAGACAGAGGTTGAAAGAGAGGTTAGGAAGAAGGTAGCGTGGATGGCAAAGACTAGCAGACAAAAAAAATCACAATACATGCACACTTATTGAGAATGTTTTCTGGAAAGTTCTTGAGCTTTGTCCCGATGGGGTGTGGTGTGCGATTGGTTAAATCTCTTGTCCTTCCTTCATGTCTCATGTGGTCATCACATCTGATTGTCTGTAGTTTTAGTAAGAGTTTTACAGCACTTGCAACACAATAGGGCCATATGAGTGCCGTTCTGATTGCCTACAATCCCCTTCACTTATCCTTCTTTTGCTTCACCATGCAGCTTAGGAACTTGTTCTGTTTCATTGTTTCAAAACACTATCAAATCGGCGAGCAATGCAGCATCCTGGATATATCAAAAGTCTTAAACCACTTTTCCCCACTCGCCTTCCAAACAATACCAAGCATTCGCAAACATGTGCACACACATACACATACTGATCTTTTTTAATAAAAATATTCTTTTTGGGGTCAGTAACTCCCATGAGTTGTAACTGTAGGTTCTTTAGGCCATTCCCAAAGGGGGGACATTTCTTGTTCAAGCACAGTACAATTGTAAATGGGCTGATTCATAACTGTCCCTGATCTACAACAGGGAACTGCTGCTTTTTCTTTCCTAATCCTTATTATTGTCATTTTCCTCTACTTCTTTTGTATGTTTGTCACTCTCTTGTGACCTGCTATTTCCGGGGTGCCTTGATAGTCAAAGCGACCTTGTGCTGTTGAAGCTAGAGAGGTGAGCAGAATAAGTCTGATTCCCTGTAAAGACTTCTCTGTTGACACCCACCCCTTGGCGCTCATATGACCTTATGCAGTTGCGAGTGCCGTAAAACCCTCTACTATTAAAAAAAAAGATCATCATAGAATAAACATGAGATAACAAGGACACCAAGTGGTTGGAGCTGAGTTCTGCTCCTTGAGACCCTCACAAGAACCCAGGTTTTGGTTTTTTTTGTCTCTGATCGACCAGATTCTTAGGCGGAAACTATATTTATGTATACATAATATATAGAATGGCAGTCTCCAAATGGGGGTCTCCTATAAATAAGGAAAAGGGTCCTTGTTGAACACCATAGGTGAAATCACCCTGTTTGCTCTTTTCAATATCTTGTTCTCATATCAATGTCTAATGAAAAAGAGGACAGAAAAAGTGAGGTTTGGTGCTAATTGGATAGTTTTTACATGGAGTTCCAAAAAAGCTACATGTATATTATTATATTTATCTTTGATGTAAAAGATTTCTCAAAAGATTAGCATTCCAAATTAATTAATTTATCAATACTTTCTTTTGCACTTCCTGTGTGTGAAGACGATTCTTTTTATGCAGTTTAGAACACCTTGCTGAACATATTGTTTAAAACTTAATTCTTTCTAAGAAAATAAAGGAAAAAATCCTTTGTTTTATCTCATTATTATTTAGTGTGCAAAGGTCCTGTATTGTTCAAGTGTGAGGTGCTCTGTTAAATGAAGTAAGAGTCCTTTTATCTAATATTCCATGTCATTTGTTTCAGGTCTTGACTGGTGATCTTGGTGGTTCTGCAACATGCTCACAGTTCACAGAGGAGATCTGCCAGAAGGTGTCAGAGTCATAGAGCGGAAAACTTAAGCTTGTAACTTTTACTTAGATATTATTTATTTTGTGTGTTTGTGTGACAGGTGTCTTTAACTGGACAGTGAATGGTTCTGTCATATCTGCTCAGCTTCAATTTATTTAAATTCTCAAACGAAAAAAAAAAAGGATTTTTGTTCATTTCATTACAGTACCATTTCGGTCATAATATAGAAATTATTAGCCTTATCTACAACGAAAAAGAGCATTCAGGCTGGGTGATGTGGTAGGTTTACTTATATATCACTGTCTTGAGGACTGGTTTGGGGGGGGGGGTGCAATGAGTAAAGGATGACAGATTTCAGGGAAGATACAATTTATACACATTTTAAGTCAATGAAAGAAAGAATCTGACACCATTCAACTTTGAATCTCCTGTAAACATACTTGGTAGGCTAATGGGAATGTGTGTGTTTGTTTGTACAAACTTGATGTCTGTGGCATAATTTTGTTTTGATCCTGTGTAGCTGCAGGTGTGTGAAAGTCGCACAGTCCATGCAGCCCCAAGAGTCTTTTTTTTTTCTGCCATGTTCATATAAATTTATGTTGTTTTGAAAGATTCTCACTGGTATATTATATACATTGACAGAAGGAGAGCAGATTGTATACTAACACAATTAGTAATTGTGTATTATATTTCAATGTATTTGGAGATGTAGTTGTTCTTCATATTAATTTGACTTTGTAGGTGCCTCTTTAGACGAGTGTGTTTTTTTAGACAGCTATTTTTAACACCATGTCATCTCCATAAATTTTGATATAAATATCCAAGGCATATTGCTTTAGCATTTCCTCTACTGAGCTCAGAAATGTGTCGCTTTGTCTTTGGCTAATTTGATTTATGTCTTTGCTCGTGTACTTCTGCCAATTGCTTGATCTCAGTTGGTCATTTCAAGGGATGCATATCCCCATTGCCCCCAAGTCATTCGCTATTGCATTTTGTTTTTTGATATGGGTGCTTGTTTTATATAGCTAAGTTTCTGCTAGCACCACTTCGTGCATCAGTATCAGAGAAAGCAATTACTGATTCATACATGAATCTTGTTGAAACTGTTTTTCCAGTTTTGTATGCTGAAAAATCTTGCTGTGAGAAAAGTAACCATGAGTTTGGATGGTAGTTGGAGGTTTGCCTTAGTATGCAGGTCAATCTTAAGCTTTTGCTCTCTTTGAAAGACTTTCAATTTTGAGGGTGAGTTTCTGTGCTAGTCTTTTTCACATATACAATGAAAATCTGTTTGTCACATCAACTTTCAATTATTGAAAGTGTCTGGGCATTGCAGACATGTCTGCTATATCCTTCGTTGATTTGAGAGAATTGTGTGTCAATGTCAACACTTTTTCTTTGATTGTGTCTGTTCGTGAATCTGATCCATTGAAGACTCATTTAACAATGCAATCAAACAGAAAGATTCAATCAATCCCACAAAATGATTCCATATACTCAAAGCACAAACTTGTTCTGCCTTTAGAGTATTTAACAATCATACCATAAAGCAGAAAGCTCAATAAATTCTTACAGTGCAGACCAATGGTGTTTTTTGTGTTTTTCACAATATAATACAAGCAACTTTTACCTCATTCAAGGCTCTAGAGCAAGGATTATTCAGTAAGAATACACTGTTTTTCACTGGTTATCACAATGACTTTCTATTCAAAAGTTAACTCAAATCATGTGTGGATACTATGAACTGTCATTAATAGTATAAGAGGAGCTGTATAAAAAGCTTGTTTGTCATACACAACTGTAGTTGGAGATCACTTAACTGGTGCTGCATATTTTCTTCTTTTCTTTTTTTTTCTTTTTGTTATGAAATTCCAGCCATTTGCACCTTTATTTTTAACTGTCATATATATATACAGTTGCAATTTTTTCACTTCCTTTTTCAAAGGTGTAAATTTTATTTTACAGTATCCTCTAGCCATTGTTGAAGTCTGGTGTCATAATTTCTTTGATCAATTTTGTTTTTATGGAATTGGGCTTTAGAGCTGAAAGGGTGCTAGGACTGTGTGCTAAGCGGCGTATTGTACTCATATCTTCACTGCCAGGCGGATTTATTTCTGTTTTCAAAGATAAATCCTCTGTGGAAGACAACATGACTACTGTAAACATGAATCAAGTTTTGGATAGCTAATATACTCTCTTAAATGCAATTTAATGTTTGCAATAAATAATGTTTTATTTTGTTCAACTTTTGTTTAGAATCTTTATTTTATGAATGTGATACTAATGAGACTCAAAATAAATATGGGCTGATATTTCGAATTGTTTTCTGTTCTGTTGTAAATTTCAGTATGTGAAAGGACCCACCAGAAATATTTTGTGATGTTTTACCTATCAGGGGCTCTTTGCTTTGGTAGTACAGAAGTCTTCTCCTAAGATCCCGGTGCTCAGGAGCAAGGAAATGCGGGATCTTAGGCGAACCGGGATCTTAACCGACGCACCCAGGGAAGAATCTATGGTGACCCATGCTAAGGCTCACAATCGGTAAAATGGTCTCCCTCCACTCTAAAATGAACTGCTGTGACCGCTTGGTGGGTTTATGCATTATGGCGTGCCATTTTCACTTATTATCCTGTCATGAGTCTCAAGATCTACGCTTATCCAGTTGTCCCTCCCCTTTACCTGTCTAAAATTTATAGCTTTTTATCTCTGACCGAGTCCCCCCTCCCCCCAACCGCCTTTGTCGTTACACACCATTACGTTGTGAACACACAAATTAAAATTCAGTCTGTCTCGCAAATTCTTGAGTAGAGACAACTGCTGCAATGGTCAGGGAAAGGTTCACGGTTCAATGTGATCCCGCCTGGAGCTAACGTGTAGGCCCTACCCACCCAGCCAGTGATGTAAGTTTAGGTGGAGAGCTCAGGTGTGAGTGCAATGCGTGGGGAAAACAAACGAGTCGGCCAGTTCACACCCCGGTGTGATCCCGTCTGGGGCAAACATTGCATCGCTTCATAGAGTTTTACAACGTGTATGTGATCACATTCACGATAGTAGCTGATCTTTGACGCGACGGACAGTTTATTGATCCCAACTTTTCACTCTTGGTTGATCAGCTGTGCCCGCCCACGTTTTTGTTCCGCAAATTATGATCTGAAATGCGGGATCTTAGCCGAATGTAGACCTTCAGAGTTAATCAGAGCGGGATCTTAGGGGTGACTTTTGTACAGTAAAAATTATGTTTTCTTAAAACAGCGGGATCTTAAGCGAATGGGGATCGTAAGTGGTGGGATCTTAGGCGGAGACTACTGTATTAAACACGGAAGAATAGTTCATATATCTGTACCACTAACGTCAAGCATTCAGCTTCATTGTATGAAGAAGTAGATACATGTATGCCTACATCCTCCTTTGAATGCTTGTGTAGGATTTTGTGTTTACTTTTCTTCAGTCACTTTATTATAAAAAATGAAACTAGGGATGAATGATTATGCAATACTGACTCAGTTGTCCTGTGCTAGGAACGTTTTTGGGCAAAACTTTTTCCAGACTTGGACCTTGTCAAAAAATGACTGATGAGGATGTTTCTCATTTTTTGTTCTATGTGCTGGTCCATAAACATTAATTACATTGCATCAATTTGGTCAGACTGAATTGAGCATGGCACAGCATGATTTTCTGTGCATCTTAACCTTTTCCTATGCACAACCAAGCCCTTTTTTTTAAAGCACAGCACGGCCTACCATTTTTTAAAGAGCTCAATCAACAGTCAATATCATTCAATGAGCGCAGATGTCATTTTCTTCAAGAACTTGACACAACCTATGTATTTACTTCTGCATAGTGGTTAAGGGGTTATATTTTACTGTTTCTGAGCACTGAGCAAGGCCACATCAAAGTTTCAAAACAATGTAAGTAAATTCTTGATCAGGCAAAGAATCAACAATGAAGGCTGAGAAAATGAAGTCACGTGTATCCTTGAGTAAACCTTTATTTTGAAGTTGGGCCTGGATAGGCGCATCTGGTTACGGGTGTCAACTGGATGCAGAAAATCAATGAACACCTACTGGCTCGCTTGTTAAATGCAGCACGCTGTGAGACTGATCTGTTGGCTGACCGTCAAGTAGAACGGACACATTGTGGGAGACCATCAAGTGGATACGTAATACATGTCTTCTTCAGGCTGTGTTTGTGTAGAGGGAGGGGGTGTCTTTCTTTCGTCAGGGGGTCTTGTTTTTTTTTAGTTTAGTTTTCTGGGGGGGGGGGTCCCTTTTGCTTCTGGGAGTGGCGCCTATAAACTTGACCATTTTGGTAAATTCATTTTTTCCTTGAGGTTGGTAAATGGGCGGTGTTTTCTGTTCTCGATAAAACTTCCTTTTGGGAAGCCATGCCATTTTCTCAAATTAAAAAAAAAATAATTGTGTAACCTGTACAACAATTAAAAAAACCCAACTTAAAACATTTGTTTCTGGCAAAACCGAACTACATGTCTTGTAGAATTTAAAAAGCACATGTAGGCCTCGACATCAGGACGGCCTAATGCCATGTTTCTGAAGTATGAACCACCGGGAGTACACAAGTACGATGGTGCAATTTATTTTAAAGTGAAAGGGGGGGGCATCATCTGACATCTTCAGTAACTTTGCATTTGTTCTTTTTTTATTGTACATGTAGTGGGGGGGGGGGGGGAGGATATCTTATTTTGGAAAGGGAGGGGGTATTTAATTTTATCTTGTTTTGGAAAGGGGGGGGGGTAAATGCGTCTCTAGCTCTGGCACCAAATACCATGAAAGGAAACCCAATAGTATTCCAAAAGAAAATATAATGAATGTTTGTCTGGGAAGAATGCAGCCCTCTTGAGAAGTATTGTTCAGGCTTCGATTCGCCTGTGTAGGTAACACCAATTCGATGACCGCCAAAAGTGAATTAACGTTTTAGGTAATGAACCTGGAGTGATAGTTTGTGTGTCTCCGTCTTCATCACAGAAACAAATTGGCTCAGTATGACATCCTAAGACCTTAAACCAACTCACACTGTTGCTTCTGATTTTTTTTTTTATCCTGCGAGCCTAGCTCTCATTTACATCGTCTAGTCTTCTGATGCCCAGCTCACACAATTTCCAGAATTAACTCTTATCTCGTGGAATGAGCCTCATCGCTCAAGCAGATGGACTACAAATCTCTCTCTCTCTCTCTCTCTCTCTCTCTCTCTCTCTCTCTCTCTCTCTCTCACACACACACTCTCATTTGTCCTACAAATCCACAAAGCATTCTCTGATGTTATTCTTTGGTGAACAGAAATGTCATATCACTTCATTTTCAAATCATGCTTCAAGATTCTGTGAGTCTTTACAAGTGTAGTTCACCGCAAAATCCTCGAACAGACCTCTTTTAAACTTTGGCGTTGTTTCGCAACTGACAAGCGAACCGCTCCCACATTTCGCACCGCTTTGGTTCATGCTTACTCCTTTCCTTAATGAAGTTAATGACTTTCTAACAGGCATCCTCTAATACATAACTTTAAACTATTACTTACCACCCCCAAATTAGGGAACTTTCGTGATCTAGGGGTTACGTTGTTCGTCCCTCGTTCAATAGGTCCCGGGTTCGAAACCTCAAGCGACGGAAAAATGTTCTTTTCTAAAACTGTTCCCTTTCACCTTCTTTCCTGTTTTCTAACAATGTTCTGTCGTCTGCTTTCGTCTCCACTTTCTGATCCCCCCCCCCTCCCCCCAAGCACTCATTCTGCAGCCTTACTACTGCTAATCCTTGGCTCCTTCTTAATGCTGTCTTTCAGTTACACCCCTGATCTTTAGGTAGGTAAGATCTAATACCTAGCCTTCTCGTACAATGGCATAATCTCGGAGGTCCCGTGTACAAGTTGCTCACGTTAAATATCCCTTTGTGATTCAAAATCGATAAAAGTATTCTTCAGCCGCCACCCGGGCAAAATTCATAATTATTTTATATCAAATTAAACATGTTTAGTGTGTCCAGCGCGCTCATGTGGCCTTATGTAGATGTGAGCGCCGTAAAACACTAACTAAACCAACTAAACCAACAACAACAACAACAAGCCCCAATTTGCTCTTTCAGTAGGTGCACTTGATCTATATCTGGAATCAATACTCCCCGCCCCCAGTAATGCATCTAACAGACTTGAAACTACTTTGCGGACTTATAAGTGCTTGAGTTCAGCATTTTTCTAACGCAAACATAATTTCTCTCAAATTTGGTGCAAATTGGAGAAGCTAATGTTCTTTCGTGACCAACGAGTCTGGGACAGAAGCTTGGTGTGGATAGTACGCCATAGCCATAGGCCTATGCATCGTACAGTTCAGCCCGGAAACAAATCAGCATATTGAGCCGTGTCGAACCATTTCAGAGAGTATTTGAAAACGGTTAATCGCACTCAGATAATTATTTTTACTCTAAGTTGAGCGGTACTTTACTGAACTAACGATACGAATAGTCAAGGTGGCTACATCTGCAAGAAATAGACAGAGAAGCTGTTTGTAAGAAGTCTGGGTTGGCTCAGCGCACGCCTGTGTTGTTTGTGTGTATTTATGTGTATACATGTATTATGTTTATGTGTGTGTGTGTGTGTGTGTGTGTGTGTGT